TTTTTTCATCGCTGTTGTTGTAATGTACTGGGAAGCCAGAATGCGCATCCATCAACAGAAACAGCCGAACCCTGTTTGTTTTACGTGTTATTTATAGCAAACCATATTACAGATGCATTGTCAGATTTAAGTTGAACCGCGGTCCTAGCGCGTGCCGAACCGTGTGTGGAGAACCGTACGATTCGATTTTCTTCCGCGAACCGTTCCACCCCTAGTGTCTACACATACAAAAGAAACACGTTCAAAATTGGCATGTTAAAGCGAACGAACAGTGCGTATTGACGTGGTCAAATTTCACTCGTTCCGTTTAAAGACTTTTAGCCCCTTTGGCCTTCCATATATACTGTACAAACGCAGCTCGATTTTTCTCTGATATACACTCAGCTTGAGTACAAAGACATTTTTATCACTCATAAACTATGGAGAGAAAAAGCGCAGACACTGAAAAAAGATGAATCTTTGCATTGCGCATGTGTTGATATGAAAGAAGATATGAAATGGAGTAAACTTTGAAAGGCTGTGCATTTGACTGTGCACATACGCTAAAAATCTAATTATACATTAAGGTACTAATATGTACCATTTAGAGGTAAATAAGCTACCTTTTGGCTTTTGTTAGTGTACTGCCCCTCTGACAGCTTTGTAGTCTGCCTTTTTTCTGAGAGTGTATATTAGTCATTGGAATGAATCAACTCAGTGGATTCTGCTTAAAAATGAGATCGGGTCTGATTCACAGAGAACGCACAGATGTCAAAGGAAACTGATAAGTAGTTTTCTCTCAGGAAAAGAGACGTTTGATTAGCTAGTTGACCTGCTGTCAGACTCAGTCCTGACTGCCCCCGCTGCAGTTCTCAGCATCAGTGATCTGATAACACACACACACACACACACAGACCTCATGCGAGTTCCCCTGAACTCAACCGGTTAAACGCAAAGTGGGAGATGCTGTCCCGACAGGCACATACCACTTACCAGGAACCACATATCATTTTGATTTTGAGGTTGCACAATTTTTGAGAAATGCATATATAGGTCACACATCAGCAGATATAAATATTGAGAGTGTTTACACTGATAATGCTTAATATCCTAATGAGTAAACACCTGAAATTTTATCAAGTAAAGGTCATGACTGAAGCATGACTTATGCAATGTGTGTATCCGGTATTATTATAGTATTTATTAATATTTTGAATTGCCTTTTAGTTTTATACTCTTAGTTTTACTAATTTTGTTTAGTGGTTTTGTCATTTGTATTTTTTAATATTTCTATTAGATTAGATTAGATTTATTTATGTTTATTTGTTTGAATGCCAAGACAACATTCAATATTAGTTTTTTTAATCTAATATTTTTATTTTATTTCAGCTTTATTTTAATTAACAAAAACAAGTTTTAGTTTTAGTTAACAATAACAATCTGTTTGCATTTTAAAATGAAAAGTGAAGGAAAACCCCAGTAGTTTCAAATGTCAATAAATATGGTTTTCTTGCACTTTCAGGTTTTTAAAATGAGCTGCATTATTAAAAAATATTTTTGTAATAAATAAATAATAAAGAAGTTAAATAAATATTAATGGAATATGTTTAACAAGAAATATTATTTCAGTCTTTCTACTTCAAAGTTTCACATTTAATTCAATGTGTTACTTGCAATTTCTTTGATTAATTGTGAAATTTACTAACAATTTCTGAGTGAAAATTGTTTCTACAACAATTTTTTTCAGTGATCGTGTAAATGCACATTACACATCCACATTATGGATTATTTGAATCTAATTTTTTTATTTTTATTATTATATTTATTTTATTATTAATTATTCTAATCCAAAGCTATGAAGTAATAATAAATTCATAATCTACTCCTGACAAACAAAAACACAAGTACAAAGTTGAATATGCTATAGAGGAAACTCATGTACCCATTCTGTGTAAGGGAGACTCACTGTTCTGTGTTCAGTGTAGTATGTGGTTTCGCTCTTCACGGCTATGCTTGATAAACAGGAAGCTGAAATTTCCCTCCGTATGACACGTTTCCTGTAGTGCCTTCTCATGCTGTGTTTTTTAGTTGAGGCCTGCCTGAGAAACGTGGGCCGTCAAGGGGAGTGTTCAGCTGTCATTTCTGGTAAGGTGTCGCTATGGGCCGTGGGCAGATAAAGTTGAATGACGCTTGTCAGAGGGGTTTTACCCTAGAGTGACTGGAAGGCAGCGGAGCGGCTAGTCGAGCTGCAGAACACAAGCCGGTGACGTCGCTGAGCGGGAACCATCATGACCCCCAAGAGTACCTAAAAATAATGCCCAATAAGCATATGCATGCTCTCATCTATTTCAAGACCATTATTATTAGATATGTGGCCAGGTCAAATTTTACCTGTGGATGGGGGTGTTCTTTTGGGTTTGTGATGTTTTATTTTCTGTTAAGTTGTTTTGAAACAGTATGCACTGTGAAAAGTGCAATACAAATAAAAATGACTTGACTTTTGAGCATTTTATAAATATTTTACATACTTTGACAAACCTTAGGTTAACAGTTTAGATGTTTAGCAACAGACAACCAATTAGTAGCAAGTTCATTCATTATTTATAAGCTTTGACAGTAAACCGAATATTTTGCACGCTTTGTTTCAGCGTCTGAAAAAACAAAACAATCATAAACCTGTAAATAAGAACGGTAACATAGTTACAAATGTATAGGTAACAGACAACCAATTGCAAACCAAACAGTGCTTACCTCATAAATTATTCATAGGCTCTGTACGATCACAGAAAATTTCACATGCTTTGTTTTGTTCCAGCTTCTCTCTGAAAGAAAAAAAAATGCTATGGTAAACATTTTCACAATTGGATTATTATGCAGTTATTAAATGTCCCACCGGTTCATATGTACGCATCTAACCTCCGAACCACGCAGCAGATTCGTTCTGAATGAATCTCTTCCCAAATCGTCCCTCCCTAACATTTTCGACGAAATCGGCGATTCACGATTCAAAAATCCATGTTCAAGATCTATGCATCGTCAAGGTTTGTAATCGATGCATTGAGAAAACGAGTGAATCGTTACACCCCAAGTAAAAAATTATTGTGATTTTAATGGTAAATAACTGTGACAATGCTACAGTAAAAACCTGTTAAATGGTTAACAGTAAGTTCCCCTACTATATACGGTGAAAAACTGTAATAGACATTTCATGAATTTTTACGGTAAAATACCATTTTTGGAAGTGAAAAAAGATTGTATAATTTACAGTGAAAACCCGTAAACTGACATTCCCAGAATTCCCTGCATTGCATTTCAAATTTGATGTTTTTTTTTTTTATAATAATATTTCTTCTTAGTTTTTTCTTATCAGTTATGTTTAGCAGGGTTGTATGTTACATCTAATGTTGTAAAATTAATGTTTATTGCATATTTCAGTTTCATGTCTGTCACCATGATGGTGTTTAGTGTTTGTGTGAATGACATTTGCACCCTCTCTCTCTCTCTCTCTCTCTCTCTATATATATATATATATGTATATTAGTATTGGCCTTCTCAGCTTGTGGAAAATCTGCTTGTGGTGAGCTTTGGTTCATCCTGGCTTTCTCATCACCACCTGATTTTGATGGTTATCAGGGTATATTACTTTTTTTTAAGTGACGTGACATGTGACCAAGTATGGTTACCCATACTTGGAATTAGTGCTCTGCATTTAACCCATCCAAAGTGCACACACACAGCAGTGAACACACACACACCGTGAACACACACCCGGAGCAGTGGTACAAAACAGATTTCAGTAATTCAATAAGTTGGTATATTAACATTATATCAGTTAATGAATAACATTTTTTAATTGTAAATTTAAGTTAAATCCGTAAACCCTAAAATGTTGCTACCGTATTTTTTACAGTAAAATTCTGGCAAACACAGCTGCCAATTTTTTACCGTAAATTTTACAGATTTTTTTACAGTGTACATATTCTTCAGAAAATGTGCATTATCTCAATCTTTCTGACTTCTGGAGCTCATTAAATTTATTTTCTATTCTGTTTGTGCTCTAGGAGAGTGAGAATTTGGAGAAGGAAAACGCGGCGCTCAGGAAAGAGGTGAAAAGACTCACAGAAGAGGCCAAATATCTGTCCACGGTCCTGAGCAATCATGAGCCGCTGTGCACGGGCCTGAGCGGTGCATCCACTGAGCTGCTGTATGGCGCGCACCACGGCGCGTTTCACCAGCATATCAGCGTGCCGCACTACCCGCTCTAACCGGCAGAGGACGCCACAGTTCTGCACGGAATCCGCCTGTGGGCTACAGTCAAAGAACTTTGGTTTGAGTCATGAACCACATAACAGAGTCATCAGAGGGTACTGAAGTGATCTTACAATCATCTACTGAATATCAGAGAAATCAAACAAAAGCCTCCAGATGTAACGATTTTTGTGGCTTAAGATCTTAATATCATTTTTAGTTTTTTTCTTTTCTAAAGTAAAATAATCCCAGCTCCTTGAACAAAAACTCATGTCTGTAAAATGCAAGCATCTGTAGTGTTAAAAGTTGGCTACTTGCAAAGGTGCATGGCAATGACACAATGAATGTTTTTAATTTAGATTTTATTAGAAACCACTCTACTGATTCATATGATCATTTATTTTATTCTATTTCTGTGAAATGTTTATAAGATGACTGGATTCTAAGAAAAATGATGTTGATTGTTTATCCTGTTCACAGATATTATGTGTGAATGTTTTTCTATTATGACTCATTTAAGATGTTGAATGGGTCAAACATTCTGAATGTACTTTATACACAATTCTAGCAGAGTATTTTTATTCTAAACCCTTTGGGATATTCTAAAGTTGTACAAACTACTGCGTTAGCCTAGGCTATATCTCAAATGTGGAGGAAGGAAAATTTGTATCTGTGATCTTCTGTGATTACCTGTGGAAAAAATCAATAAAAACATGTAAAATATACAGACACTTTTAATGAATTTGAACATAATGTCATCTGTTTCATTTATCATGAACAAATGTTGTAAATGGTTCATGTTCTTGCCTAAGTATAATGCATGAAATATTTTATTTTCAGAAAGCACAAGTATGTTTGGTCATCCGAATAAATACATCTGTTTAGAAATTAGGCTATTATCCAGTATCTCTATTAAACTGAGCCCACATTTTCTTGTCCTCTTTCTATTTCCTTTTCCATATTTTATTCATAAACTCAAAATAAATTCTGACCAGCCATTTTTATTTCTAAAATCTCATACAATAAACATAAAGGGACTGGAAGAAAATATTAAATTAAATCACATATAGTAATTGATTGTTGTAGAAATTTTTGTTTTATCAAACAATATAGGTCTACAACAATATATGCCTTCATCGTGACCAGGTCTCCCTGGAAGAAGAGATTGTGATGTCTCAATGGGGTTCTCCTGGCTATATAAAGGATAAATAAATTATCTTACATTGCATTCTCCTGTTTACAAGTTTTCCTCCTACAGGACACATTGTGTTCAAACAAATCAAATCTAAGAGTTTGCTGCCCCCATGTGTACAAGTGGCCTTGAGGACACCAACTCCATCCAGCGTCCCTTCAGAGGATATTAACTGTCTTAATTGGGGAATAAAGGTTAAATGTTTGCATGCAAACAAAACAGCACTATTTACATACCTGCTGTCGCTGAAACATACCCGTGAAGTATGATAAAGTGCGATAAAAGGGCAACCAGTGGGAGCAGACCACCAGCATGGAAATGAGGAATACCTTTTTAATACTACTGCTGCTTCTGGACGATGAATCTTCTTTAATAATGACTCTATGTAAAAACATTGTAAACAAACAGGAATGAACAGTACTATTACATGAACATAAACAGTAGCCTTAAATATGTGGATCACGCAACATATTATAGAATGGAAAACTTAGCTCATGCCTGAGGGAACTACAGAAATGTGTTGTTATACTCACAAGAGAACACACTGTAGCAACCTGGAAAGAGTTGGGTTTGGTTACAGCAACACTGTCTGAGAGAGAGAGAGAGAGAGAGAGAGAGAGAGAGAGAGCTGGAGTTATTGTTTGTAGCTGAGGTTCAGTGAGGATACTGACAGTCTTGCATGAAGGTTATTAGAAAGCCTTCAGTGATATATGGATTGTTTACCAAACCTACAAAATGGAATATCTGCCTTTAACGGAAGAAGTAATTGTAAATATCACTTAATATTCAGTTAATTTCAGTCCTTTATAATGTTATAGCCTTTTTTTTAAGAATGTCAAGAAATTTTAGTATTTTGCCACAATAACAGTGGTAGCCTTAAAAAAAAAACAAGTTTCCACTTGAATCAGGTAAGATACAAATTTGTTCATAAATTTTTTATTTGTCAAATCTTATAACATTGAAAGATTTACTCTGTTTTATCATTAATGTTACAATCAGAATGAGTTCACACAAAAATAAAAATAGTCATGCAGATTACTTATATGATATTTATGTTTTTAATATTTATTTATTAAGCTTGACAGCTCTAGTTACTGTTGTCTGGCAAAATCTGTGTAACAATTCTTCATATATTTCTATTTTTGTGTTCAGTAGAAAAAGTAACAGCATATGAGTCAAACCAATTCAGTTTATACAAACATATTTTTGTTGGTCTAGTAGTGAAACACTGTCAGTTTAATTTATAATGTTTTTCTTAATCTGATAAAAGTCCTATTTATTTATTTAGACGCAGTTAACCAGACTATACTGTGTAGACAATCACTAAAAATATTAGGCTATTCGTGACATGCAAGTATGACAGAAAATGCTAAAAAAAATAAAGATATAGTAGCCTAGCCTATATATATTTGGTCAATGTACCAGGCAATACTGTCATAAAACAAATCCATCGACCAGCGTTCTATTTCTATGGTTACCTGTTGAGGCAAACGCTACTTTTTTTGCAAACTTTTTGAAGGTGATACGCACATCGATTAATAAACTTAATCAATTAAAATTTACGTGATTATGTGTACTTTTAAATTATTATTTTTTTGTGTTAGCTATAGTAGCCTAGCTCGTGACGACTGCTGACATTAGGCATTATATAATGTATGAATAACATTTAGTGCTGTCAAAGATTAATCGCGATTAATTACATCCAAAATAAAAGTTTTTGTTTACGTAATATATGAGTGTGTACTGTGTATATTTGCTATGTATATATAAATAAACACACATGTATATATATATTAGTGCTGTCAAACGATTAATCGCAATTAATCGCATCCAATCGCATGTGTGTTCTGTGTATATTTATTACGTATATATAAATACATACACATACAGTATATATTTTGAAAATATTTATATGTATATATTTATATTCGTATAATTTACCGCTGCCGCTCGCGCCCATCGCGCTCCTGAGTGCGCTCTCGTGCTGTGCGCACACGCTGCTGCTGGGATTCACCGTAGCGCAGAAACACCAAGACAAACTGCAGTTAACAGTGCTGATCAGACAGGTGACACACACACACACACACACACACTGGAAAAATTGTTTTGTCACTTGCCATAATAAAATACCATACATAGTAAGGTACCTCGAATACCAGAGTATCATCATACTACTGGACGAAATCATAGTACTTTTTTGGTACTTTTTTGTTTGTGAAGAAATTATTTACAGTGAGTTGCTCTGAATGAATGCACTTGGTACCCACACAGTACTATTTTGTAAAGGTGATTACCATTTTAAATTTTTTTTAAATGGTATGAATTTTGTTGCCATGGTGTGCCTGAAAGAACAACCTAATATCATTACTACAATACAAAAATAGTCTTTCATGTGGTAACAAATAAATTACATTGAGTAGGATAATTGTATTATATTATAATATCTATAATATTATGTTATGTTAATTTAAGCCTAACCATATAAAAATAGGCTACTTCATGTGGTAACAAATAAATTACATTAAATAATTGTATTAAATTATAATATATAAAAGTATTTTATTTTATATAATATTTTATTAATGTGTTTTAATTTGCATTATATTTTAATATAATTTTTACTTACATTATATAGTAAAAATTGTAGATATGTTTCTAATTTACTTATGCACTACAGCAAGGATGCATTAAATTAATCAAAAATGAGAGTATAGACATTTATAATGTTACAAAAGATTCTATTTCAAATAAAAGTTCAAATAATCCTTAAAAAACATCACGGTTTTCACAAAAATATGAAGCAGCACAACTGTTTTCAAAACTGATAATAATAAGAAATGTTTCTTTAGCATCAAATCAGCATATTAGAATGATTTCTGAAGGATCATGGGACACTGAAGACTGGAGTAATGATGCTGAAAATACAGCTGTACATCACATGAATAAATTACATTTTAAAATATATTACAGTAGAAAAATGATTGTGCTGCGCGCACACGCTGCTGCTGGGATTCACCGTAGCGCAGAGACATCAAGACAAACTGCAGTTAACAGTGCTGATCAGACAGGTGACACACACTTACATTGTTTTGTCGGTTGCCATAATCAAATACTGTAGTAAGGTACTTAAAATATTATATACTATTTTCAAATATCATGGTATCACTTTTTTTCTGGACATGGCACCATAGTAGGCTACTTTATTAAAATACTATAATATTATCACTACTACAGTACAAAATTCATGGTAACAAATAAATTACATTAAATAATTGTATTAAATGATAGTATCTATTTTATATAGTATTTAAACAATATATTTTTATATTATATTATCATATAATGTTTATTTCAATTTTGTAGTAAAAAATTGCAGATATTTGTATATAATTTACAGATGCACTACCGGTCAGTTATTTTTTTTTTAAAGAAATGAATAGTTTTATTCAGCAAGGATGCATTAAATTCATCTACAGTACAGTCATTTATAATTGAACAAACACACACAGCAGTGAGTAGTGAACAAACACACACAGTAGTGAGTAGTGAACAAACACACACAGTGAACACACACCCAGAGCAGGGATTGTCCTCCCAGATTGTCAGTATCGAGACTCGAACCCGCAACCTTTGATTTATAAGTCTGACTCTCTAACCATTAGGCCATGACTGCCCCAATAATCCTTAAACACTACCGGTCAGTTATTTTTTTTTTAAAGAAATGAATAGTTTTATTCAGCAAGGATGCATTAAATTCATCTACAGTACAGTCATTTATAATTTATAATCGTGGCCTAATGGTTAGAGAGTTGGACTCGTAACCCAAAGGTACCTTTGATTTATAAGTCTGACTCTCTAACCATTAGGCCATGACTGCCCCAATAATCCTTAAACAATAGTTCGACAGTATTAAGCAGCACAACTATTTTCAACAGTAGTAAAAATTGTTTTTTGATCAGCAAATCAGCATATTAGAATGATTTCTAAAAGGATCATGTGACTAACTAGTAATATATAATGTATTACATTTTGGAAGTAGGCCAAGTATGGTGACCATTACTTGGAATTTGTGCTCTGCATTTCAACCATCCAAGTGCACACACACAGCAGTGAGTAGTGAACAAACACACACAGCAGTGAGTAGTGAACAAACACACACAGTAGTGAGTAGTGAACAAACACACACAGTGAACACACACCCAGAGCAGGGATTGTCCTCCCAGATTGTCAGTATCGAGACTCGAACCCGCAACCTTTGATTTATAAGTCTGACTCTCTAACCATTAGGCCATGACTGCCCCAATAATCCTTAAACAATAGTTCGACAGTATTAAGCAGCACAACTATTTTCAACAGTAGTAAAAATTGTTTTTTGATCAGCAAATCAGCATATTAGAATGATTTCTAAAAGGATCATGTGACACTGAAGACTGGAGTAATGATGCTGAAAATTCAGCATTGCCTCACAGGAATAAATTACATTAAACAAAACAGTTATTTTTAATTGTAATAATATTTCACATTATTATACTGTATTTTTTTAATCAAATAAATGCAGCCTCAGTGAGCATAAAATAACCCCCAAACTTTTGAAGTGTTTTTATTTAACTAAACTCTTACAAACAGTACTGTGGTGGTACCGTGGGATAGTCTCCAAAACTGTAATGCATGACAGCAGAGGGTTGTGGGAGCAACATGTCACGTGTTTCATGTCATGCACATTGAGCTCATGGAAGGATCTGATATGATGATTTCCCATTGACGTCATGGGTCAGACTCAACCACAACTCAAAATCATCACTCTATTTTCCATGTCAATAAAACCATGTTCTGTGTGGCTGGAGTGTGTATATTCAAACAAAAGTGACATGAGTGTGTTGTTTCCCATAGCTGGTGGCGAATCTGATGCTGTATTTTGCTGCTGTGCTGGTGGGCGTGATGTCATATTTCATGGCCGACCGTAAGTACCGCACGGCGTTCCTCGAGGCCAAGCAATCTCTGGAAGTCAGTCTTACGCTGAAGGAACAGAGTCAACAACAGGTACATGCACAAATGCATTCCCAAGTACAAATTTTCTTTTGAATGAAAAAGGTTTTTAAGTGCACCGGATGCTTTTTGTAGGGATTTTGTGCCATGTTTGAGTGTGTGAGTAATGAACGCACCGAGATGCTCTAATTGGGCTCAGTGGTGGAGCTCCGCTCTGGGGCCCTTGTGTCCTGTTACCTGTTATTGGCACATCTGAGCAGAACTAGAGACAAGGACACACTGTACACACACACACACACACACACACACACAGAGCAGGTATTTTTCTGTTGTCACTCTTATTGCAGTAATGAAGTCAATCCCCAGGCTACTGTTAGTGTGACAGCAGCAACACTAAAGACCCTAGAGCCCAAATTTGCCATCACACATTATTTTATGTTGGTCACACAGTACGTACTAAACCTAGTTTTATGATCTGTTTTATATATAAAAAATATCTCACTAAAGTGCAATACAGACATTAGTTCCCCCAAAAAGTAACATTGATTTGCTATTTGAGAGCTGCATAAAGACTGATCTATTTACTAAACAATTAATTTAAGATCTGCACAAAGGCTATATTATATCATGCACATAGGCTTAGTGAATGACTTATTTAGGAGCATAAAGACTAACTATTAATTTAATAATTATAGAAGTCCTTATGCAGCTATTAAATAAATCATTTAATAAATAATATAAAAGTCTTCATGCAACTGTAAGTCTTTACAGAGCTCTTAAATAAGTCATTTAATTCATTCAATTATTTTTAATAGCATCATAAATACTTACTTTTTTATCAAATTGTTTAACAGCTGCATGGAGACTTATATTTATTAAATTAATTATTTAACAGATGCATTAAGACTTTATTTGTTCAATTATTTAACAAATGCATGATTGAAGACTTACGTATTTATAAATTAATTTAAGAGCTACATGAAGACATATTTATTCATTATTTTAAGAGCTGCATAAAGACTTATATATTAAATTATTTTTAACAGCTGCATAACAATTTATATATTTATTCAATTGTTTATTTAATAGCTGCATAAGACTATACATATATTAAATTATATATTTAAGTTCAGTTTTAGTTGTTTTATTATTTTAGTACAAATTAAACAAAAGAAAAAAGAAAAATCATGCTTTTTAAAACTAGCTGAAATAAAATCATTTTAAAAATATTTTATTTGAATTAATGTAAATTTTATTTTAAGTATTTTAAGTAAGGGTGTTTTTGTGGTTTTAGTTTTAGTGAACTTTGACTGCATTACAGCAAGATGTATGTCTCAAAGAAGGATTTTGTGATGTATGTGTATGTGTAAGTGTCGCAATAGCGTCACAAATCTGAAAACTTTTTTTAATTGCAAATATGAACTATTTTGAAACAGTTTTTCAAAGCAGTCCCACTATCTGCTATTGGTCAACAAACAGATAGTCCTGCCCGAAACCTATGACACCCATCAATTTCAATATGTTGGACCGCTCAAAGCACCACATTGTTTTATGTTGAAATTAATTTGGTACTTGATGGTATGCTTAGTTGTCTCAACTATGCTACTTTTTTATTTTGCTTATGAATTGCTTTGTTTCATCATTATTTTACAGTTTAAATTCTGCAATTTAATGGCAGGTTCCCATGTGATATCTTACCCCATTTATGTTGACAACATGTGCCATATTAGGGACTAACAGTATTTGCTATTAAGTGTTAATGGAACCTTTAATCGCTAACACCAATCTATCTGTACAGCGGTTTCTGTCAGCATCTCTTTCTGTCTGTCCTGCTCATGTTGTCACATGGTCTCCAGAGACCCTGTCAATCCCAGAATGCCATAGCAGCAGTGGGGGCTTCTGGGAGTTGAGTGCATCCAGCCAATCAGAGCGCGGATGACAGGTTTAACTCACTATGGCAACGGCATCAAGAGACAAATGCACTCTGCGATCAAACTTCCGAAATCCCACATCGCTCTTCTGCTCGTGAACTAGAGCGAAGACAATATTTCAGTCTTTAGATAACACCTGTTGAAGCTCCACTAAATTAGAAATATACATATAAAGATCACAAGATCTGATGAATATTCATAAGCTAAGACATTGCAATTCTTTATTTGTTATATTATTGATAATAAAAGTGCATAATCGCAACCATGTAGATAGATATTTTGATATACTGTATATGTTTTGTGCGCATGCATAGGAGGAATTGCTGTTGTCCATCTTGCCGAAGCACATAGCAGATGAGATGCTTCAGGGCATGAAGAAAGAAGCCAATCAGAAATCAGATGCACAGCAGTTCAACACCATGTACATGTACCGCCACGAAAACGTCAGGTAAAACACTCAATCTATCTGTCCTCCACTCATGGTCACTCCATGATTGTTATCCTGTCTTCATTTATTATTAAGCGCATCTTGATTTTGATTCACCTCAGTGATTCTTTTGAGTCTGTTCACCAAAAGATTCACTCAGATTTGTCCATTGACTCATTCAGTGTATATCTGCATATTTGTCAGTCAGAAATAAATGTAAGACACAGATACGATTTCTGTACTAGTGCTAATAAATAGAATGCTTTTGAAATATGCAATAACCAGGTTTATATATCAATAATATCGGTCTGGCGAGTAAAAATTTACTAGCCAATGGCGATTCAATTGCCAAGGTGTCCATAGAGGGTTGACGAGGTAAAATCGAAGTAACTAAACAGCTTCATAGTTTAAGAGAGACACACAGATAATTCACACACACAACTGTCATCTCTCTCTCGATCGATAATTCATTCAAATAAACGATATAATTCATTCAAATAAATGTGGTCTTACCGCACTATTTCATCTCTGTATCTGATTTGAAGTGGGCATGCTGATTCTAAGCTATTTGTATGCATGCATTTTGAAAATAAGATTATTTAAATATAATAAAATATATGCAAAGTTAATGATAAACTGCCATGATTTTTTTGAGTGTAGAAATCTTACCTTTTTCTTACCTGTTTAATTTATGTATGACTGACAAATATGCTTCACGTTAAGTTTATTAGTGTGCTTGTGTTAAAATTGTATATTCCAAATGGATGGTAATTTTATATGCAAATCAAATACATAAATACATTTTTTTTTATGTAACCTTCCTGTATTTACATCATTGCACCAGTAGATCGCAAAAAGTGAGTGTCTTATAATAAACCTAAGCATTTTTTTTATTGCTGAATATCATGTTTCATTCACAAATACTTCACATTACAGATTCATTCATTTATTTCATGTTGACTTTGAACAAGGCTGTTCAAACTCTTCAAACACACTGAAGTATTGATCTAACATCTCCACTCTCTGCAGTATCCTTTTCGCAGACATTGTAGGTTTTACACAGCTGTCTTCTGCCGTGACTCCAAAAGAACTTGTCAAACTACTCAACGAACTCTTTGCTCGCTTCGACAAACTAGCAGCAGTGAGTAAAAACAGCCAACACACATATTTTACATATTTATGTACATCCACCTTGTAAAGAAAAGGCTACAAATAGTACAAATTCATATGTTATTGGGAATTTGTGCACAAAATTACCAGTACTAAGGATACAAAAAACACTGTAACTTCCACTCTCATGGTGTTTTAACAGCAACACCACCAGCTGAGGATCAAGATTCTGGGAGACTGTTATTACTGTATCTGCGGTTTGCCAGATTATCGTGAAGATCATGCGGTCTGCTCCATTATGATGGGCCTGTCTATGGTGGAAGCCATCTCGTAAGTACACGCCCACTGGGTGGGGCTTTGCCTGCAGTACCCAATCACTGGGTGGAGCTTTATCTACAGGACATGGCATATGGGAGGGGTTTTATCTTTAATTTATGCCATCTGTGAGAAGCTTTATCTAAAGCTTATCAAAGTGGGAGGGGCTTCGTCTACAGTGAATGGGACTGGAAGAGGCTTTATGTGCAGAAACATTATGATGAATTTGTTGAACTATGAATAATAAGAGGGCACTTCATCAGTTTAATGCTGCACTTTCACAACAAAAAAGTAGATATAAAAGTAGGTTTTGAGCTCTCTGCTGCAGCCTCTGTTCTTTATGCTTCGAGGGATCCGGTTGTAGATAATTATATATATATATAATTGTGAAAATGAATTTTATACACACACACACACACACACACACACATACTCATATATATATACATACATACATATACACACACACACACACACACACATGTTAGGTTTCTGTGAATTGTGGGGACTTTCCATAGACTTCTATTACTTTTATACTGACCAAACAATATTTTCTATCCCCCTTACAGAATTAATTGTATTCAATTATATAGTATCTATAATAACAACTGTTTTTTTTTTTATTATTATTATTTTATATTACAATTTTTATACTATTGTATTTCCATTTTATATTACAAGATATAAACACATATATAAAATAAAATATTAGTTATATTAGAGATATTATTAAAATATGCAATTACAATACCAAATACAATATACAGTTTTATGTGTATATGTATATTTTTATGTTTTCATTTTCACAGTTTTTATGTATATATTCGTACATTTATATAAAATAAAAATAAAATAAGATATATAGACTTATAATAAAAATATGTAATACAAATTGTTATTATTTTTAACATATTTTTTCATTAAAAATCTGAATATAGATGTTATAATTAAATAAAATAATTAAACAACTATAAAGCAGACATTCCTATTGGCTCATATGCTTCTCACTTATGCTCAGATATGTGCGTGAAAAAACTCAGACAGAAGTGGACATGCGTGTAGGTGTGCACACGGGTACCGTACTTGGTGGAGTCCTGGGACAGAAGCGCTGGCAGTTTGATGTCTGGTCCACTGATGTTACTGTGGCAAACAAGATGGAGTCAGGAGGCATCCCAGGGTGAGATGAGCTACAATCTGTGTTTAAATCATTAGTTTCTTGTTTGTGAATTGCAGTGCAGCTGACTCTCTCTCTCTCTCTGCTGTGTCTGCAGGCGTGTGCACATCTCTCAGAACACGAAGGACTGTTTGCACAGTGAGTTTGAGCTGGAGGAGGGCAATGGAGGAGAGCGCTGCGAGTACCTTCTGGAGAAAGGCATCGACACGTATCTGGTGCTCGTGTCCAAAGACACTCCCAAAACAAACGGAGTGACCAACGGCACAGTGCGTATCATGATTTCTTATTCTCTGATCTGCTGTTCTCATCCATAACTGATCTGAAACTTTCTTCAGGTGATCAACACCACAAAACCCAGCGGCAGCTACACATCAGTAAAGAACATACCTGAGGAGTCAGAGACACAGGTGAGATCTATCTATCTATCTATCTATCTATCTATCTATCTATCTGTCTATCTATCTATCTATCTGTCTGTCTGTCTGTTTGTCTGTCTATCTGTCTGTCTGTCTGTCTATCTATCTGTCTGTCTGTCTGTCTGTCTGTCTATCTATCTATCATTCTGTCTATCTGTCTGTCTATCTATCTGTCTGTCTGTCTATCTATCTATCTATCTATCTATCTATCTATCTATCTATCTATCTATCTGTCATTCTGTCTATCTGTCTGTCTATCTATCTGTCTGTCTGTCTATCTATCTATCTATCTATCTATCTATCTATCTGTCATTCTGTCTATCTGTCTGTCTATCTATCTGTCTGTCTGTCT